TGCTTCTCCCCGATCCTCTTGCTTTCCACTCATCGGTCACTTTTTCCTGACAGATCCTTGTACGATCGATGTCAACATTCGCATGATTTATATCTATTCCTAATGAGGCGCTACATTGGATTCATGTGCACGTCGGGTTTGGTGTTAAGTGTATGCACATGTCTTTGCCGACGGAGCAGATTGTTAGATTATGATGACTTTCCATGCTTCCCACTCCAGTCGTGTGCCACCAGTTCAGCACTTATTCAAAGTTGACTTCAGCCTCTTGCCTTGTTACGACTGCTATCTGAGATATTGTTCACTTGGTGCCACCGGCATGGCGACGGCGTCATCATTATGTCTTGCGGCTTCATGTGGCCAAAAGCGAGCACGTGGTCAGGCACCTTTGTCTGTCCTCGTTTCGTGCTGATCCTGTTCTGAAAACTCATATCCGGCAGCAGTTGTGCGGGCCTGTTGTGCACTATCTCCTCGGAAATCTACGAGACCGTAGGGCGCACCGGAACGTATCGGCATCTCGACCAATTATGACATACTTTCTCTCTTGTGCTTCCGCAATCGTTGCCGTTTCCACGGACTGACCTTTGCACTACCTCATTTTGTCCGACAGTTTGCATTTGCATTTTGCACTCTCTCGCTTAAATGGCGTCACGAGTAATTGACTCACTTGTGCGCTTAACTTGCTTCTTCATCTTGATCGCTCGTTGGCGGCTTTTCCCTGTACATCCGCATTGCATCGGCTGCTGACTGTATCAAGATTCTTGTACACTACCGGGCTTCTCGGGCTTCGTATCGCATGTAGCCCTCACGATGACAGCGACAACAGTCACGATTTCTGTCACTGCTCACAAGCAATGGAGTTTACATTTCGTTAGATGTCCCTTAAAGAATGTTACCTGCATCCCTCTACCTTCATCCTGGTTCGATTCAACGTCGCGATAAACGCGTCTGAACGAAAGACGACGCTCATGCGACCAGATTTCGTAGAGTATCACACGCTCAAATCTACCTATGTTCCAAATTGTTCGCGCTGCGTATCGCTTAGCTGATTACGATCTGCACTCCGGACGCGCTTTCTCGGCGGATTTAGGTGCTGTCCTCAATCAGGTCATCTCGCGCTACTGTACGGCCTGCTTCATGCCACGGAGAGCAGTAGCAGTCCGTGGTCAATAGAAGGACAAAGAGTTCAATGCCAATTAAATTTTTCGGAATGCTCCATGCAATCGTCTTCAATTCAGATTTGTTACTGCATTTGACTGTGGTTTTACCTAAATAACTTGCAAGAGCTGTGGAACACATTTTCATTCTGCCGGGCGAGTCTGGTAACAAACATCCAACCCCTGTGGGATAGCGATCTAATAGTGCATTGTGCGAGGTAAGTAGCGCTACTTGCCGCCACTCCACCTCCACTCAATAACATATCTTATCATGTACAATAAATATCTTGCGCGCATGTACTGTGCAACACAAATGGTAAATAGTAAAAAGGTGAGAAACAAAGAGGAAATGACGTAAAAATAATGTAGAGTCGAGAAGAATGCCGCAATTCTTTCCGTTTAATACGACACCAACGAGCATCACATGGCAATAGCTGCAATAGTGCATACTTCAGATGCACGTGGTGATTATACATCCCGAACAGTGGAATGGTGGTTCAGATCGGTGTACGGTAGCTCTTATAAGGCATTTTGTTTCAAAAGGTTATAGGGTAAGTCTCAGAAATGAAGTACTTTGGGAACTTTAGTTTGGAAGCTCATTTCTTTTAGGTGACATGGCTCACCACAATGATTGACGAGTATTGGAAGGATCACAAGTTCGACGGCGTCGGTTGGAACTCGCTTTGATCTTGGCACCTGTCATTACTTATGTGCAATTGCAGCAATGTATCATTCAGATATCCACGAAGTCGGACTGAAACTTCACCCAGGCGATTGGTGGAGTCAAAACGTGGCCCTCGGCTGGTACCTCATCTTCAACAATATCAAACCCGACTTAGTGGTTATCGATCATTCGGCAAGGTCGGGCTTTTATCGTGGACCTGTGCAAAGCTCTCTGTACGGAGTCGAAACCAGTAGAGGAATAATACGGAGAGTTTCTGTCGGAAACTGTCCGTTACGGCAGATCGGTTTCATTTCCTATACAAGCAGCCTCAAGATTCAGACAGATCTTAGCCTGTCAGCTCTACCCATTCCCTTTTTCAGTTGCGTTCCGCTTATTAAATGGCGTTTTCCCAGCTGTAAAGTGCTATTCTATTGTCACTTTCCACAACAACTCGTCACACCCTCCAGATTCTTTTTGTATAGGTAAATCTAGAGAGAATCCTGGTGGCATGTATTGACTCATGCAAATGTTCCGGTTTCAGATGGTATTCGAATTTGATTGGTGTCATTGAAGAGCATCTCTTCGAGCACACTGACGTCATTATGGTCAATAGTCATTTCACAGGTGGGCAATTCATTTTCGATAAAGAATTGGTTACATTTGCTTCACTAATCTTAAACTTATTGAGAAATTTTCCCGTTTCAGCATCACAGTTTAGTCGTGTGATGCCACGCATCGAAAAAAGCAAAATTCGAGTTGTATACCCGCCATGCGATGTGGACTCCATTGTTATATCGGTAAGGGATATCCAAAAATGGGTTAACAAGTGAATACGAGTTCGTGTGTACTTTGCGGTAATATTCTGAAGTCATTTGTGCAGGCCGAGAAACCGATGAGTCGCCGAGATCGACCACAGAACGATGTGTACGTGTTCATGTCAATGAACAGATTTTGGCCTGAAAAACGGCTTGACATCATTGTCGAGGCGGCCTGTGAGTTTTTTAGCGACAGCGAATTCTGCCCTGCAGGCACCGTACTACCTGTTTTCAGCATTACTAAAGAAACGCGGGTATAAATTTTTGGTGCAGCTGGCTGGCTCCGTCATGCCACACATTCCGGAAAGCCGAATATACTACGAATTACTACAGAAAATGACTAGGGTAACATTGAACAATAAAATTTGCATTGTGATGTAGCGCCTGAATGTAAATTTTCAAGGACCTCGATGTTGAGGACGTTGTACAGTTCATTCCATCTCCCTCTGAGTGCCAAAAATTCGAGCTGTACAGGCAGTGCGACTCGGCACTCTATACGCCACCAAACGAGCATTTCGGGATCGTACCGATCGAGGTGCGTGGTGTTATATCATGAAAATTTGCAGAACTCTCCAGCCATGATTATTCAGGCATTGGACCAGCGTCGGCCTGTAATCGTTTGCGACAGTGGCGGCCCGGCCGAAACCGTGATAGAAGACGTTACGGGCAGCAAGGTTAGCCTCCACTAGTTGGTCAGGCAAGAGACGTGAATTTACTGTATCCCGATGATCTTTCCAGATATTGAAGCCGACGGGGGAACTGCTTGCCGAGGCGATGATGCATCACATCAAGAAACAGGACTGGCCAGCGCTCGACTGCGACGAGACATACGAAAAACAAGTAAAATTGACTTAGAAAACCGAACTGAATTGTGCGCTCAAAGCCGAAGCCTAAACCAACCTGGGTGGAATGGGTTTCGAAACGATTTAAAATTAATTAGATTTGAGGGTTAGAGGTTACAATCATGCGTTTTGCAACTTTTCTCGATTGAAAACAATTCGTTTGCGCAAGCAGCTTGAGAGCATTAATGGCCCACGTAGACCTAACGCTCTAGAGGTAGTGAGCCAATATCTTTGCGCGCAAACTCTCGGAGGGCGATCTCGTTGGTGGTTCAATTTGGCATATGCAATCAAAGAATTTTTGACACCCGCTCTCTGTGCTCACACTCCGCCCTGGTGCACCAAGCTTTCCAAATATGACCATGTCTAACCTTTCTGTAGCGATGCTAAGTGCAACTCCGTTACCGAAAATTTCCGCGGAGTCGCAACTTCATAACCAAATACCCTTTTGAGCGGCGAAGAAAAAGCTTTCAGGAGCGATAACTTGATCACACCACAGTGGCGATCGCTAAAAGGGGTATGGGTGAAGCTGCATGGTAACTGGAATGAAATTTCAGCGTGTTCGATTCGATCGCGATTTTTCGTTGCGAGGCTTCTGTGCACACATCGACGAAGCCGTTTCACAGCTGTTTCCCGATTTGGCGGCGATATCATCGCGGAATCGTCGTGCACTTGCCTAGCCAAACGACATGTCGTCGTAGAAGGCGAGTTCAGCATGAAGCCGTGCGACGCCGAGTCGGTCTCACCCCTCGTCGTGGCGTCAGCGCTGTTGTTGCCGTCACCACCGTCTTCTGTTCGCGTATTACGAGACTGAGTGACACTGTAACCACCTCAATCCTATGGAGGGCGACATCAATCGCTGACTCCGTAACAATAGTTGTCACATAAGTTGCACATGATTCCATGCACGACTTCTATGACAATCTTCTAATGCGGGTGAGACTGATACGGAACGCAATCTAGCCCCGTTTCAATCGTGAAACGGTATTTCTTTGTTTTACTACTCATACAGCAACTCAATTTTTTGTACGTTTAACGTGTCCATTTGTTGCACCTTCTACTATATCTGTGTACTGCCGACATTTTTGCATTGTTCTCCTTGAAGATTTGTGTTCGTTTTTTCTGAGTAGATCCCGACGAAGAAGTTTCCAAGAATTGCTATTTTATGCTCGCATTTCAGCTTTTCGTGTTCCCTCTTCTTCTTCTTTATCTTTGCATGTTCTACTTTTCATCACGTCCCTTTTGTCTATCTAGATGACGCTCCACGTAGTTTGGTTAGAGTTATCGCAGTGTCATATGAACTTTTTGGTAGTGACGTTAACCTGATTACCTTTCGATAAAGCGCTATATGTTTGTATTTTACACTTTTCTTCACCGATTTGCCACCGATAAAACTTTGATATTTGAACTTTATTGACTCACAGAGATATATGCGGCAGATCACCCACAAGCGACAGTGATCACTTACATTACACGACGAAAGCTACGGATCACTGAACACTGCTGCTTGCATGACGTACTGACCAATCTATTCCTCGACGTCCTGGTCGTGATCGTCAAATTCGCCTTCGTCGTCTGCTGTCGCCTCCTTAAATATCAGATCTTGAATGTACTTCACACTACTGAGCCAGTGCCACTGACCTGGTATTGCTGATACTCTGACACAAGATCGTTCATATTTGACTCAGCCTCAGTGAATTCCATTTCATCCATGCCCTCACCGGTGTACCAATGAAGGAAAGCTTTACGTCGGAACATGGCTGAAATCCAATAGGCAATCCTTTACTAGCTCCATAAGCACAGTAACCACAACCAACCCGTAAACTGCTCGGATATTCTTTTGAATAGTTCCTGAATAGCGGTCGAATTACCGACGAAAGTGGCGGCCATCTAAAGTATAAGATCGTGCCATTGTCACCAAAAAATACTGGCTATGGCTTTCTAGTTCAAAGGGGATGTAGAGGCGTTCCCACAAGGGTTCATAGTTATGGAATAGAGCCCTTTGCAAGTAAGGTGAACAGAGCAGAATCGGTGCAGCGTTTTCCTGGAAGGTCATATCAAGAAGTGTATCTGTTTCGGTCAACGACATTCCCAACACAGTTCTCTATTTCATCAAACGGTCAACTAAAGCGGCTTATAAACTGCCCCGTGACCAAGACAAGTTGCTTACTTAGAGGACGCGGTGTAGACATTGCCAGACAGGCCACATAAAGGCGAAGTTTATGAAAAGCCGGCAGCCCACTAGAATCAGGGAGAGGTGGTCAGTTGTGCGGGGATGAAGAAGAAAACATGAGAAAAGACCTTGCTTGCCCGTTGATCACTGATGCGACTCTCATCGGTGCCGCCCTCTTGAACGCTAAGGTTCTCTATGCTCAACGGCTCAAAACCTGCGGCCAGTGGTCAGCAGTCGATGGGCGTACCGCGCCGATAGCGCAGTGGGAAGGGCGATGCTTGACCGCCAGCGGCTAATCTTCGTTGCCAATTGCTGTTGGTCCGCACACTAGGGGCCTACCTGTCTTTCTACGTAAGTAGTTCTTACCCTTTCATTAACCCTCAACCTTACCGTGTATTCCTCCATTCAATGAGTAGCCGCTCTGGTATAGTACTGACACGGGCCGCATAAATTAATGACGAGAACTGTGGAATAAATAGGGCACAAGCTTGACAAGCACCTTGGGCATTCAATCTCATGCTGCATTTTTGATCCTTAGTGGGTATAAGGAGAAGAGCGCCTGTCAGAATTGAAAGCGAACCTTCACTCCTCGCGGTGGAATATCACAGACGGCCGTTTTGACGTTATTCGGAATCCATTCTACGAAATACGACGAGTTCTTATTCTGAACATTTAGCATCTGCTCGTCAACCTCCTGAAACAGTGAATTGAAGTATTTTAAGGTCTCTTCCTTTAGTGTCCTCAGAACCTTTTGTATTTCAGAAAAAAGGATGGAGCGTAAGGCACTCAGTGTTGACCAACCTCTTTTTGAAATACGCCACGCATACTAGTCTAATTTAAAGTCGCGGTGCGATTTCCCCTATATAGATGGTGGACGGCCAGTGTGTGTATGTACAAATTGGTGTTTTTGCTCTTGTGAATGTGCATAGTAGCAATTTTCCAACTCCGGACGGGTGGAAAACATCGTTGGGACCGTGCGCGGTGCGACCATACCACCGCCACATTTGAAACCAGCAGCTTTTACAACCAATGTGCAGGAATCAGTTTCTTGCAGATGTCAACAAATTAATGGCAAACACCTGACAAAAACCATTTCATGGTCAATGGAATCCTGATTGAACTTGCATAATAATCAACCAACTTTCCGAGGACTGGTGTATTCCTTTGTTTATTGTCACAGTAATGACCTAAATTCTGCGGATCGTGAACCATTTATAAGGAAGGACAAGACAAAAAGTAATCATGTTGCATAACAAATTCGCCAAACTCTAACTATCTGCGACTTTTAGAAGATGGGTCGTATTCGTTATTTAAAGCGGAAGGTCGTGGGAGTGTCGGACCGTCTTTGAGTGGGAGTAGAGGCAGAATTTTGCAGTTGCTATAGAAAAATATCGAGAAAAAGGCCAAAAAATGCATTGACGGAAGTAGGTGTAGAATTCAAAGTTGCGCCGTCTCTCAACAACACAACAACAGCTTTTAGAGAAGAATTTCAGGGTTGAGTTGGACGCGGTGAGGAGGGGTCTCGTAAGAGGCCCATGCCATAGGGCAGTCATCCCATATATAATAGAATCCCGTGGTGATGAAGAGAAGTGTGAGAGGAATCGCACGAAGCTATTTTTAACCAAATGACTTCATGTTTCATACGTTTGCTCATATATTGGGTTGTCCAGAAGATCCTGCGACATTTTGTCCTAAGATTTTTTGATTACACCTTCTGTTGTTGAATGAAATATTCAATTAGCTAGATTATCCCGTTACAATAGGAGACGAACACTTTTTCTGGGCAGCTTCCCAACTGTCTTGTTTAGGAACCGGCGTTAGCTTCGAAAAGGAACGATCGATCCCATTTTCGAGCTGACCTCAGTCATCGGATTTTTTATCGTCCAAATGACGCTTCAGAGCATTAATTATCTGATAATTAGAAATGGCCAAGCCCGGCGAGTAAGCCAAGTACTGCGAGATTTCTCCATCAAAATCCATGAGCTTCTGATACGTAATCCTTTGTTGCATGTAGATGTACGTGGGTGTGGGGTAACACAATGTTGTGCAAATTTGAGTGAACTTCACGCTTCGGCCAAGTTTCAGAGTTAGTTAGGCCCTACAATGGCCATCATCGCAGTGCAGGTATCAGCTTTCTGAGAGGTATCAGTGTGCAAACTCATCAAAACCCCATAAAGAGCCCTTCTCTACGAACGTTCCTGCAGGCAGCTTTAGCCTTAGTCAAATCCAATAGAGCTTATGTGTACAGTTTCATCGGAGCTTGAGCTACCTTCCTTGGCCCATTCCGGACTGCGCACTTTTCACGTGGTGGGCGCGTGTGGCCGGCGCCTTTTTATGCTCACCGTCGCGCGCTATTCAGCGAGCACAAGCATCATATATTTAATCTGTATTCCCATTAATGTCTCTATTATGTCTCGTTTGTGTCTTTCCCATGTCTTAAACTATATCTGTGGTAAATATGACAGAAAGCCGTCCAGTAATAGAAGAGACAGGGCCACACAAAGGAAGGCAGGAGTGAAAATTGTTCAAAATAATTTGTAGTGAGGAAAAAGGGACCAGAAAGTGTCCGAAATTTTTAGAATTAGTAGTATCAGCCACGAGGTGCACGAGATGTCATGACTGCTTTTGTATGAAATGTTTTCGAATGAGTAATAATCGTGTTCTTTGAATTCGGAGTGGAAGTCCACCTAGTTGTCGATTAGTTTAGGAACTATTTCGAGATTATAGTCCAGATTTTTTCATACATGCGGTGTGAGTATGTCACGCAAATATGTAACAACATAGAACATTTTGTAGAAAAACCCAATCCTCGGATAAATCACTCTTTGAAGTCTCTGACACTCTCGATCCGGCGGCACAGGGAGCAAGTTGGGCCTGACACCCAATGGGTGTCAGGCGGTCCAGAAAGGGTTAATCTTCATTTTTGTTGAAAAATTCCCTTGGTACGAAGAAAGAAGAGAAATCTCTACCATGGTCACACACTTTGCCTTTCCAGACTGTCGCAACCCATGTTGAACTCATTGCGAACATGCTACTCTGTGACCGAGAACGCAGGGTCCTCGATAATTGTGAGGTAGTGCATCTCAGCATTGTTCTAACTCGCGACTGGTAGCAATTGGCTGAGCCTCTGAGAAGTTGAGCAAATGCTCACCGTTCATCACCTACGGCCAACCAGAGCAGTGCCTTATTTTGATTCGAATATCTCTGGATGCGAAGCCTTACGATCAACGTACCCTATGGCATGCTGAGCGAGTCACCTCCTGAATACAGCACAGTCACTAACTGCAATGCATGCTAGCAGAGTGGCTTTATAGGAGCCCGAGAAATAAAGTATGTCAAAAGATGGCTTAGTTCAGAGAAAATCTTGGAGCTGTAAAACGTCGTTCACAGCCTTCATGTACGCTTCTGCTGGAGCCTTTCAAGACACACTACAGTAATCAAATGCCAAAACAACTGAAAAGAGTTTCGATTTTTCCCTGAAGTTATTTGTTCAAAGTGTCGCAGGATTTTCTGGACAACCCAATAGAAATATAATATAATAGGATCGGCGTTACCTTCATACTCATCCGGCCTCTGAACATTGCGGCTACCGTAAGGTATCGCCCATGTCGTGGATCACATGCAGCCATCATATTTTTAGCGTCAAACATCTGCTGTGTGAGTTCAGGTACGGTAAGAGATCTGAAACAGGTTATGGTGATCATGTTGCCCATGTATTGGGTTATCTTCTGCTGCAGGACATTGCACTCTGCTCTCGTTGTCACAGAGCTGAATGGCACGACATGGATGCCTGTCATACCTCACGACTTTGACAATATTAATTCACTTGGACATCACAATAAAACGAAAACCTGATAGTACTTTTTGCTCAAAGATTTCCAGCCATGACTAATCCCATTAACGGTGCCCCTTTCACTCTTTTCTTGACAAAGTGACTACATCTGAATGCATGAATAGGGGAAATTGTCTGAAGATTGTCCTCTAAGAACCCTGAAGACTTGTGAAGAATGTTACAGTCACCTACCGGTATTGTTGTGAGCCTCGTGACGTGAGAGGAGCGAAGCCAGGCATGAAGAAATGCAAGCGCGGAAATGGCACCATATTCACGGCTAATTTACGTAAATCAGCGTTGAGCTGAAAGTATTGACTCAAGCCATTACTTTAAAAGAAATATTCATTGATGGTTCACTAACACATGGGGATATCATTAAGCATTGTAATAAACGGTGCATAATCACTAGGCCAGGGTTTAGAATAGGCTAAATTTAATCAAGTTACATTTCTAAGTAGAAGCATTCGGATCAAGGCTATCTGGTAATCTTTACCTTGATCAACTTTTACTCTGGCCTTCTTTCGCCTTGTTCCTAGTGAGTTTGCTTAAAAAAGGCACTGTGCTTAATTTGGTGAAAATAAAGAACATAAAGAATTTGGTGAAAATAAAAATAAAGAACCTTGTATGAGTAAGGTCATGCTTGGACCTACAACGGCTGAGGCGCTACCAATTTCGACATGCAGAGCGCGTGGCAGGGATGCTAAGAGCTGATAACCACCGTGCACATCCTATGCATCTAGGTATGTACGTTGCGAATGCGTTAGTGTCTATAGTTGCTCTACCCCAATACCCCATTTCGCATCCAGCACATGTTTCTTGCGGTCTTGCGATGGAGGCGTCGTGCTCACCCCATAGTACTGTCTTCGTTGGCTTGCAACCCATTTTTCATCGATAATACGGGAAGATCGGGAATTCATGTTTGTTTTGGTAGGCAATCCGGAAAGCTAGACTAGATATCACTTGTTCATTTAGCTCTCCCAGTCAAATTGTCACAAATGTTGCCGTCACGAATTTCTTCATTGGGGTTCATCACCCACGAAGTGGTTGGTCCGCTCCTTCAAGGGGTGCTCCTGGGAATTACTCACTTTTGTAAACTGAACGAGGACATTTGAATGCAGGGGACAGGCCCCTGTGACAGGCCGGCCCACGAACACCTACGTCACATCACAAATGCCATGTCGCTACATGAATCTCCGGATAATGCAACGGTGTCCGCGGGAGCCGACGCGCACCAGCAAAGCCAAGCGAGTGTGAAAAATATGAGAGGGTCTCCAGTGCGAGAAAGGCATCGGGGTAGATATGCTCGTCCAAAGTCCCGCAACGTATGGAAGACTTGCGTTGCGACGTTAAATGTTGGCCCGCTAACGGGCCGCTCGTACGAGTTAGCACAAGTTGTAGAGCCTCGACGAATTGGTTTCTGTGCCGTGCAGAAAACGAGGTGGTCTTGCTGCAAGTCGTGGGATATTGGCCGCGGCTGCAAAGCCTTTCTCTGTGGCGCTCCCAGAACCACCGACGGCGTCGGGATGACTGTCTCTGAACTTATGTTACTCGATAGTAAGCGTGAACGCTTCGACAACCGCTTAATGAAGATCAGTGTCGTCATGAGACGACAAAAATACCAATTCTTCTCTGCGTACGCTCAGACTGGATGCTCCAAGCACCTGAGTAAAAGTTCTGGAATTTCTCGATGAGACGACAGCTGAGGTACCGTCACAAGAAGCCATAATTGCCGCAAGTGACCTTAATGGACACGTGGGCGCTATAAAGACGGTTACAACTGTCATGGTGGTTTTGGATGTGGGTCACGTAATACTGATGGCGAGCTAATTCTTGAATATGCGGACTCGCATGGCCTCGTCACCGTAAACACAAAATTTCGGAAACGTGAATAATCACCTTCTAAAGCGGTAAAACCAGATCACAGACCGACTTCGTCCTTGTCAGGCTTCGTGATCAAAGGCTCGTAACTGACTCGAAGGCAGTACCTTACAGTACCTTACGAAATTGTCGTTACACAGCACGATCACTGATTGTCACGCTAAAAATCGTCCCGCATAACAGAAACTGATCGAAAGGTGTGGGCTAGCGAGAACTGAGTGGTGGTGACTGAAAGAAAAAAGGCGACTGTCGTTTCTCGCCTTCGATCACCGGCGGTTACGACTGTCGACGAAACTTGGAAATGTGCTGTCGAAGAATTAACTCGGATAACTCGATCCGAGCTCGGCATCACGAAGCCGACGGCGGGGAATTGACAAGCAATTGTGGCTGTGGAAGAACGTGATTAGAGAGAAATTGCGCGAAAAAAAAAGAAGCGGTACCAGCTTTTCTTCACAAAAAGGCAGCTGATAAGTGGCGGAACTACGACAGCAAAAAAAGGGGCGTAGAAGGCCGTCGCTTCAGCAAAGGCAACTCATATTGCCGATGTCAATGAAAAAACCGAGTCACGCGACGGAGAGCGGTACGTTTCTGGCAAAGATCCGCCATCGCCAGACCAGGATATGGGAAAATTCTTTGGCATGAATGACGAAGATGACTACCTTCTGACGGACTGCAAGAAAACATTGAAGCGATGGCATGACTATTTCAAAAGCACCTCAACAGTAGAATTTGCCCATCCTGCCATCCCTGTGCTCCGCCAGTACACGGTCGCGTTCAGAAGATACCCATAAGCGAGGCTATGATGGCTTTGAGGAGCATGAAGTCAAGCAAAGCAACCGATCCCGATGACTTAGCGGCAGATTTTGTAATTCCCGCAGAACATGGAGTTCTTTAACCAGGTCATTGCGAGAAGAAGGTGCCTGAGGGCTGGCAACAAAGCACGACGATTCCCATCTGGAAGAAGAAAGATAGTCCTAGAGACTGCACGAGCTACCGTCCAATTCGCCTGCTCTCGCACGGCATGAAAATCTTTGAGCGAATTGTAGACCGTCAAATCCGGGATATCGTTGATTTGACCACCAACCAATGTGGTTTTGTTGTGGCTGCAGCACCATCGATGCCATACACGCCGCTCGCCTCTAGCTAGAGAAACATCGCGAGAAACAAAGGCCGGTGTTCGCCTGCCTATACTTGGAAAAGGCTTTCGGACACGTTCCGCGTGAGGTTATATGGTATGCCTTACGGCAGCATGGCGTTCCCGAAGAGCTCATAGAGTGGATGCGCATCCTCTATCCGAGTCCAAAGAGTCGGGTGCAAACCGCAGTAGAACGAAGTAACCGCTCTAGAACGAAGTAATGACCGAGGAATTCAAAAAAATTCTTTCAATCTCACAAAATGGTGGACAGATTGTGCACGTGGCGTCTTCTGAGGCGAGTGTTCAGATCCATCCTTCTGTGGAATATGTAGACTGCGAAAAGGTTTTAGAACGTATCACATACAAAGTATAGTTATTACATACTTCTGGGGATGGAAGTCGAGTGCATGGCGTAATCCTAGATGAAGCTCTTTCAAAAATTGAAACATAGCATCTTGTAGATCCCGAGCAGAGCTGTCAGCTGGCATAACTATCAAATCGTGTAACCCATTTCTCCAAGAGTTAGGGCGAGGCGACGGTTTCTACCCGCCAAACCCGCATTGAACAAAAATTAGTATCACTATTGTACATCCCGACCAAGCGTGCCACTTGCCACTATACCACTTCTGCCCTAAAAGAGCAGTACTAAGAATAATGACAGACATAAGAAGCATAATGGTCTATGGCTCCTTTATCAAGCGCTAATCGCGAATCAACTCCTTGGCCTACTGGAATTGAGATTCCAAGGCAGCTGACCATCGATTCACTTCTGTGCTTCAACGGTTGCTTGAATCACCATTTTTGTAGTTCCTAACTGGCGCCTACCCGTATAATGCTTCACCACGAAGATTACCCTAGAAGTGAGATTATAACTTCAGAATACCCTGCTCGGATCATCTGCGTTTAGAGGGTGCTGCCGCTTCTGGTCAAGCGGCTTGGTTGAGTACCTGTGTTATTCTGTAAGAATATGTACAATAAGTTGACAACGTCGTCGGCTCAAGAAGGAGATCGGATGTCCTTGCAATGCTCCATGGTAATCCTTGGAGCCCATTATGCAGACAATGGAAAAAAATCCTAGCACAACGCCATTACAGATTACCGACATCTTTCATTTCTCCTTCGATAACGCTGAATCGACCACCTACACAGGTCACGGCAAAAGTGTTCATTTCTACAGGTACTGTTCGTATAAACCGCTTGTATCCGAACAATACCAACCTTACTGAAGCTATGTATGGGGTGGTATTATGTCGCAGACTCAACTTTGTTCAATCTCTTTCTAAGTTCAATTCTACGGATTGAAGTCGGTACTTGAACGAAACGACTAGTAAGCCTCGAGGACAGCCCTCATAATTATTCTTTCTCGGATTTAGCAATTTCATGTGGATGTTTGGAACTTGCAGAACATGGTAGCAGCTCTTGAAAGATTCATGAATAGAGGAAGGGATTTTTCGAACTGCATCGCAATGTCTCACGAACCCAGTCGAGCATCACAAAAAGCATAAAACTGGCTTTTTCTCTAAAAGACTAATACGACACATTCCAGAAATTCGGTTCATGGATGTGTTTGTGGCCAACACCCAGATTCACAGTTAGATTTGTTGTTTGCCGCAATCCAATGTTCATTTTCTTAGGGTGACTTTATCATTATGAAACGGTGCAAGAGCCAAAAAAATTGTAAAAAAAAAGTTAGAAGACAATCTGCTCTTGTCAAGATTGCAATACAGGGTAATCCAGGGTACGGAATCAGTAGAATTGCAAAAAAAAAATCTTAGCCGCCAGCTCGTTTCAGAAATGCCCAATTTGTGGGTGACCTTATAATGATGAAACGCACTGTGAACCTCGTTTCGTTAGTCGCTTTGAACATATTTTTCCTGTTCTGTATTTGGCACATTTACCGACAAACTAACAGAGTTCATAAGAGTGACTAGAAAATGGATATCATGAGGACTTTATTATATCTAATATGGTTAAGTGCATTTATAAAAATAATTTTATGTGTTATAAATCCTCAATGGCTAATAATCATAAAAATGTAATAAACTAGTTAAAAGACTACTCAGCTTCTGAATTATTGCCTAATTCAGTGAATAATCACAGCCATTTCCACCTTTTTACTTTTTTCATACGAAAAAAATCCTGCACATTTTAATCAATTTATACTCACTTTAGTCAATATACAGGGTGGTCCAAAATTATGAGGACCGCGTTCGCGCGCGGTCATATCCACTTTTTTCAGAGTCGCTTCATTTTCATCTCCTTTTCTGTGCACTCTGTGGGAGGGTACAATGTCTTCTTCCTAATGAAACCAAATTTCATGCAATTCTCGAAACTAGTGAAATAACAACATCGCCTTACGTCAGTCATCAAATTGAACTTACTAAGGGCTCAGGCACGTTACATCTAGCGGCAGTCTAATGTATCAGGGAAGCTCTTATGGACAACAGTTCAACTATTCAATAAGTTTGGAATCACCACAGATGGAAAATTCGGAGACTCGAAAGTACAGTTAGCACCAGGATAATTATAAGATGCAGAAACTACGTCTCCCCTTGTCCACTCTCGTACTTCCAAAATGAAAAAATTGATGTTAAACCCTAGCCAGTCACTCTAAAAACTGCATATCTCTAGTGGATAGAAAGTCACTCAAGTAGTCTACTTGGGACTTTTTACAGGCCCGAGCACCCAAGAATAAAGTAAAAATTCTCTGAAAAGCGATTTTTCGAAATCGTTAATTTCGAAGAATTGTTACGCTGGAACCATCCACCTAGTAGCCCTAGATTTCTGTATTTAATACCCTGGGGACAAGGGCAAATAAACGCCCCACAAAACTTTGCTCCTTGGGGAAAGCAAAGCAGAAGGCCTGGAAACATTTTGACACGCCTCAGTTGCGTGCCACCGCACGCGCCTCCCCCTTCATCTGAAGGCTCGTGTAAACGGGATAGGTGGCAGATCTCAGTTTTATTCTGGAATTACTTTGAGGTAACAATTACGAACACTTCTCTAAAGTTCGTTAGTGCCATCAAGCTCCTATGCGTTTTGAACGACACAATGTCTTGGTCCTCATAATTTTGGACCACCCTATATAATTATATTCATTGCATCCTCCTCTGCATGATCAATTTGTCCGTCGGCTCAAGATTTATTCCTCTTTCCCCTGCGTCTTTATTTCGGCAATCCCAATTCAATGATGAGCTCTGGAGATTTACGAAATGATAAGATTCGTCTAAGGAAGGAGCGAAACGGAACATTTTAATTATTCCGTCCGTAAATGATTTCTTCTTTCTTAATCAGCTGCGTCCGTGAAGCACTCACGGAGTATGGGCTTTGTGGTTATGGCTTATTCTTTTTCAAACAAGCCTCGAATGAGTTCGTTAATTAGTTAGTTCATGCATGGGAATCGTACACACACCTTTTTCTAGTAATCACAAGTATGTAACTCATCTATGCGAGGAATGAGAAAACAACTCATCGTGCACTATACCTTTAATTACACAAAGCCGTAATACAAGCCCCCGTAAATTGTTTTCCCCGCACTTCCTGCCAGAGACGAGCGAGCGATGAAGAATCCTCGACGAGTCGACAGGGGAGGGGGTTGTGGAAGATATCGGGCGGGATCGATGCAGTAGGACCATCACTGTTGAAGGACAAACGTCAAGAATCGAATCAGTGCCATGGAGGTTCAGAGGATTTTCAATAACAATTTGATTGCGACCACATAAAAATCCTCGTGACTCAAGGGGGCCGCGCTGTAATTCTTAAATACCTCAGTGTTTGAACACGACACATGTTAAAGGATACTCAAAGGGTCCATGTGAAATTACAGGGAGGAGTCCACTACTCAATAAGAAGTGCAGCCATCAGCGTCAAACTATGAACATATAAGTGTTAAATTTGAAATTCATCAAACAATGTTTCAATTGATGGAACGAAAAAAGCTCGTGGATATCGAGTCTGCTCCCATTTCCGTACAAAATTGCCCCTGAAAGCAGCTGTAGTCGTTGAAACAGCGCCAATGCAGCGAAAAAGTGGCTTTCGGACGGTACTCGAGCAAAAGTCCCCGAAGCGGCCATCTTTTTAACATCGGACCATGGTCAACCCTACCGTTGGTACTTCTTGGAAATTTTTCATCCCTCCATGGGCGATTTTATACGTCCCCCTGTATGTAATACTTGCTTAAAGACAATGTATGCCACCAATTTTCCATCGAAATTTAATATTAATTTCATTGAATTTTAAAATATACTGGATCCTTTTCCTCTTCGAAAAAAATTCAAATAACTAAATGAAACACCGCACTTTCTCTTCCTTGAAAAGAATCTAAATAATGCACCGCACTTCTTTGGTTCCAACACAACACCTACTTTGCAACGCTTGCTAGAGGATAGCCTTAGTGGTCGAACCAAGGACGGTAGTAAAGCTCCCTCAAGTCAGAGTTAACGTGTTGAGATTAGCTCAGACAAAAGTCATGGTTAGGTGACAGGTTTAAAGCTCATCCCAACACAGTAACTCTTGATTAGCTCATAGCTAGGTCATCATTGAAAAATCGACTTTAATTACGAATTAGAGAGATAACCTGTAAAGCTAATTCGGAATTAGGCAGAGAAATGAAGGAGCACGCGGTTGAAGAGACGCAGACGCCACGTTTACTCTCGAGTAGAAGTACTCCGAAGGGCTTTTTACTGGAGGGTTAACGTGGCAAACGTGGCATCTGCGTCTCCCCATTCTCACGGTCTTTTTTCTCTGACCAGCTCCACTATGTAGGAATCAAAGATGCGGCTGCAATCGCATAATCCACAGATGCTTTTGTGACTTTTTTCTGAAATATTCGTTCGTTTTCTCCTGTTTCGTTGTTCTGTGATCATAAAATAAAGTAGGAAGCTCGCGTTTGATTTAAGATCGATTCGCGATTGTCTTATTCATTATTCTATGCAAGACCCTTCGATCAACACCTTTGACTGCGAATTGAGGGTAGTTTACTACCGTCCCAGACCTCAATCAAAAGCACAGTTGTTGGATGTGGTTTAGATTCTTATTATCCTCGTGTTGGTGTCAGACCAAACAGTTGTCTACTGATAGTGTACGTTTGCAGGTAGTATGAGTATGGGTAGCACAGGAATGATGAATGAAACGAATCGCGATATTGATCGCGTTTGAATGTGGTGATTCGCCCCATCAACGTCGGACAATGGAGCGCGTTCGCTGGCCGTAAGCAGGCGACGAACGTAGATACTAAATTTCAGACGAATTCTTCTTTGCATAATTTCAGGTACTTCGTAAGTTGGAAGCGGTTTTATGGATCACCGAGGCTCAGCCTTTCTAAGTGTAGCTCATTTGTTCCTGAACAATTTGAAGTGCATGAGGTATTAACCGAGAAACAATGTTGCACTACAATTTTCACCTCCCTCTTTCTTTCCGCCGAAGCTATCTGATTTGAAAAATTCAATCTATCCTCTCTCCATTCATGGCTAATCTTTCTTCGAAAATTAACTTATTAAAAATTTAGCACGTCGGAACTTTTTTCTGTGCAAGTGCGACTTTTCAACATTTGAACGATCATAACTTTGCTCAAAATCATCGATTCCGAAGGCGGAACTCAGTGTGGCAAACTTCAAGATGTAAGCTTTCCAAAAGTACCCGAACGCCTCTAAAAAGTCAACAGTTCAAAAATAGTTCCGTTGCAACTTTTTTGGCATTTTTCAAGTCATTTTCTTGCAAACGCGGGTTTTCTTAGGTTTCACTGGCAATGACCTCCAAAGGAAGCAATTCCGTTTGGAACATAGGATGGATTAAAAGCTCCGAGCATGCGCTTACATTGAATTTCCCTGCCTCGGCGTGCGCAACACCTCGGCCGCGTTTCTGATTCGCTGATTCATTTGGAAATCATTGAGAAGGGAGCGTGGGTATAGATGCATAATATACATATACATAAAATAATGCATTTTATAATTATTTACATACTCAGTTTCTGCGCTGCGTTTGCTCGTTCCCTACGTACAACATCTATGATCAATGGGGATACTACAAAAAATCCCACTGCAAGCCACAAGAGTGCGACCTCCTATACAAACTCAACCAAATACGACTCCCCGTTGGTTCTGGTAGCAACATAGGGTTGGCCCTGTATTAAGTTGTTCTTGTAATCGTTCAATAGAGCAAATCTTCTAGTGTATGATGACGCATCAAAATTCGAGCCGAAAATTGAGCCACTTTTGCAGGCACAGAATGCCCAACTCTCATTCCTATTCTCCTAATATGTTTATGTTGTTTATTCTTATGAGACCGGTTTTCTAAAGCAGGTGTAGTCATGATGTAAATGTGAGATGTCCGCTGTAAACGTAGGCCTTAGGAGACCACGGTGCACTGCTTGTCATTGGCGCCTCTGAGTGTTCACCAATCACAGACGTCAACACTCGCTGTCCACAGCAGGCATTCAAGACAAGTAATGCCATATCTACCTGTCCAGGGAACCGTAAACACGTGGTTACTCCGCTCATTGTCATTGACACCAGATGATTGAGATCTCCGTAGGTTGGTGTAGTCAGTTTCAGAGTGCGGAAGCAGATGTCATAGAGAGCCTAAGTCAACAAATTTCTCAATATCAAACAAAGAGATCTCTGAGCAAGAGCAGCATTTCAGCAGAACTCGTTCAGGTATGACTGCACTTGTTCAAACTGACGTACTGCCCACGCTTCACGTAACCTATACACTTATAGGTTACGGTTACCTGTATACCTCATTATCGATACAGAAAGTCTCGTCGGTATTTTCCACCAGTTGATGAACAGATAATGTCGCGTTGTACGGCTCAACCACCTACAAAAAAGTCAGTTACATCTCTATCAGTGTATAGAATAAAGCTCCTAAACATCAGTGATTGCTTGGTGAACTACAGTACCTCCCATAATTTTGTTAAAAAAGACGCGGAAGACGCGGATCCGCGTCTTTTTCGTCTTTTTGCTATTATTTGATTTCTGATCGATTTTCGACATAAAAAACTATACCATTAGACTCAGCTTGTCGAGTGCTATTAGAGCGTCCTCTCAGATTTTAGAAAATTTCATTTTTCTATTCCAAAGTACCTGAGGCTACTCATTAGCGAGCGTCGCTCGCTATAATTACAGTAAGAGACAAACAGCTTCCACTAGTATTCAGCAAGCCTTTTCGCTTCTTTTTTGTTTTGAAATAGTATGAGAAGAGTGACTAACGTATTCTTCAAGTGATACTGATCATTTTGATACCTGATATTTCCTATTTAAGTTAACTTTGTCGAAATCCATTTTTGGAACGAAGTTGCATCTTTGAAGCGAAAAATAAGGAGAAGGACGCCAAACTATGACATCAGCTGAATGGTGTACCTCTTCTTATTACCCTTCCCTGCTGATAGTAAGCTTTCCAAGTTCCTCTCTGCCACCAGCTGTCAATTTCGGGCCTTGTTTGAGTGGAATTTTCACATTTTTATCGAAAAGAAACCTCCCAAATGTTATATCATTCGAATACTCATCGAAAACACTATGTAATGATATGAAGGGTGAGTCAGAAATTTCCTCATTATTACTTCCAATTTTGGCACTGCCTGCCTTCTCTTCCCGCGAACACTCGACCGGCGAGCTAATTAGCCGTGTCACCGTGGCCGATGACCTGAGCATCTTACACCACAATTGCCTTAAGACCTCTTTCACATCCCAACAGTTTGTTAGTCCTTCTGGAATAGATCCAGCAGAAAACTTCAGTTGCGTACCATTCACCATCGTTTGCGAGTCTACTGGAAATGCTCGCGACCTCATTATCCTCACACTGTATCTTGGTGCCTGTTTAACGGCCATTTCATGGATTTTACTGGCAAAGCTGCAACCTTGACAAAAATACCTTGCGATTTTGGAGAATCTGCGCCGGGGTTTCTTATAAATAGAAGAATAATCTGTTCGATTGCAAGGTCAATTTAACAGGTCTAGTCGAGAAATTTCCACTAACTTTGTTCTTTCCTTATTTGAAAAGGCCTTCTAAATGAAGTTAGTGTGTCGCCTTTGTGTTGTTGTATTCAAACTTCTTCCGTACGAGACAGTTTTTTGACTCCTATTGCATCAAAAAGTGAGCGATTGAGAGCTGACGAATCTACTAACTGCTGACGGCATCAAAGTTTTCCTTTCGTGGAAGTGCTGTTTGATGGATGGCTGATTCGAGCTACCTACGATTTTGTAGTCGCACGGCTCAAGGTACGCATGAAGTGCAAGGTAAACAAGTTCTCATTCCAGCTCGGCTAATTTTTTCTAAATCGCCCTACCACGGTTCTTTGAAACGTACTGGCACAAGTGGCTTTCTGCGTCCTGTAACATCTTCTCGTACTGCTCACAGTATATTTGGAAGCTGTTCTGTGATGAGGGTGACCAGAGCCGTGACGCTTTGAATTCTTTGGTAATGAGTCCCTACAGAACTTAGCTGGCCGAAGTGTCTGTTGCCTTTGAAGCTTGTATCGAAGATTTTGCACCAACGAAGAATCATTGGTTGCGCCGGCCTCACCCCTCTTACTTTGCTATCATTAGCAGTCTTGTACCACTGCTCTAGAGAATTTTGATTTAGTCACACTCAAGGTCAAACTTCCGCTCGCCATTTGAACGAGAGGTCGCATTTGTGATTTCGGGAAGGGGATAGAGAGAAATGGGCAGAAGTGGTGACGGCTGTTTGGGAGAGAAAAGTGAGTGGGGTTAGGCATTTGGACTGTGTGGACTGGTCTCAGAATCAGAAACTCTAGAAACAGCCATGATGGGAGAAGATCGTACTGGGAAGCCTTCTAAGATTGATGATGGTGGTAGGAAGGGGTCGCATTGAGACTCCACCAAAGGGCGAGGGATTCGTAGAATTTTTGAAAAAAAGGCTAACCTGACGGTTGACCCTGGTCACATTTTCTTCGTTTTCTGACTGAATTCTGTTCAGTTCCGGCCCAACAAGCACGGCATTACACACCACTGACACAGAGGTTCGAGGACCCTATTGAAACTTATTAGGGCGTGACCCAAATTTGTGCCACAGTTTTGCAACAACAATTTTTGACCTTCAGGAACAATACTTATGCAGCAAGCTGATCGCAAACGATATTAGGGCACAGGGTCGCACTACGGCCTCTATAAGCCACCAAACAGGCCATAAGCCTCCACTGTAGCGGGCGTGGGTCCACCTGATGGGGTTGCTGAACAGGGCTGTCAGTGTGAATGTATGTTCTCCTCCATATTCTGTTGTGAATGAATCCATTCACATCCAGTTCTTCTGAAAATCTGAATAATTTTTATGAACTCTATTTTTCCGGCTCTGACGGTGTCCTCCAAATAGTGCCATGTATAACGGACTGTGGCGCCGTTGGGATTTGAAAGAAAGGCAATTGTGGTGTAAGATGCTTAGGTCATCGGCCACGGTGACACGGCTAATTAGCCCGCCGGTCGAGTGTTCGCGGGAAGAGAAGGCAGGCAGTGCCAAAATTGGAAGCAATAATGAGGAAATTTCTGACTCACCCTTCATATCACTACATAGTGTTTTCGATGAGTATTCGAATGATTTTGGGAGGTTTCCTTTCGATAAAAAAATGTGAAAATTCTATCGCGGAATCCACGCGATTTTCACTCCTCGATTTACTGATTAGGCGGTCAACCGATGACCACCCAAGGCGATCGTGATCGCGCGCCAAAAGAGTGATATAAAAGGTTAGCAGGCCCGCGGTGCACGATACACACACACAAGCAGGGGTTCGATCGCCCCAACCCATTTCATGGTGCATCGGCTCCAAGCAAGGACCCGACACAGGACGAGTTACGACACTTAGCAAGTTTGCGAATACTCAGTGAGTTTGCAAACCTTTTGACGAAGTTTGGCGATACCTGCCCTCCTTCATTTGAAAAATGACGGGCGCTACAGAGCTGGGATCCCAAAAGAGGTTGTTGACGAGATACTGCAATATGCTGAACCAACTTGTTGCAAAAATTTCAAGCGAGATACAGTTAGATCAACCCGACAAACCCTTGCTGAATTGAAGACGGAACTAAATGAAGCAATGGCCCCCGTCGCGAAAACGCTACGTGACTTCATGGATGCTGTGGACCAGCAAGGGAGACCGTCAACCAGCGAAGAGGAAACGTAAATAGACGATTATATCGAGAAGACTCACACGACACTCGAAGCTGCAGAACGGCTAAAAATACAAATTGAAGTTAAAAGAACTTCAATAACAACAACGTCTACAACCACCTCACACTGCGAATCAGGTGCGACAGAAATTCCATGTGCTAGAGTGGAACTTCCAGCTGTTCCAATCCCAACATTCACGGGAAGAATTAAAGACTTCGAAAACATTTGGGCACTTTTTAGTGCCAATGTCCACCAGCAAAACCTCTCGAATCTTCAGAAATTCAATTATCTTCTGCTCAGCGTAAAAGGAGATGCAAAAGAGGCGATCAAACGCTACCCCGTCACGGACGAGTATTATGAGGCCGCAATAAGGACACTTAAGTCCAAATTTGGGGATAAATCAAAACTTATATATGACCTGCAGACCAGGTTAGAGAGGGCCAAATCGAGAGGCCCAAGCATCGAAGACCAGAGTCAACTGTTGGACTACATAATCTCAATAACCACCCAGCTGGAGTTCAAAAAAGTAGACCTTAATGGGTCCTTTTTTGCTCGGAAGATCCTTTCAAAATTCAATCAGAAGCTTCAGAGAAGAGCATTGAGGATACGCCTGAGTTCGGCTCACACAGAAGAGGACTGGTTACTGAAAGATATCCTCGCAGACCTCGACAGTGTCACCTCAATGGAAGAAAACGTGACAACAATGCTGCGCCAGAGCGATTGTTTCCAATGCAACAATGAACCGAACAGATCGATTACAATAAAAGAGGACAAAAAGGAAAGAAACCCGACAAATCAGTTTGCACGGTCTACTTGCACCTATTGCGACATGGCGAACCACTTATCAGTAGAATGCCAGAAAGTCGACACAATCAAGAAAAGAACAGAATTCTTACTACGAAATAGGCGATGTCTCAATTGTGTCAAACCAGGGCACCACTTAAAGGAATGCACCAGCCGAGGCTGCAACATATGAGAAGGAAAAAAGCATCACTCCTCCTTATGTCCGAAATGGCAAGGTGCGAAAATGCCAGTGGAAATAACCCAACAAAGAAAAAACAACATGCAACTACATACAACTGCACCAGGAGTCGCCCATCAAAAATGTGTATATGAAGATAGGAACAAGTTAATCGACGAAACTTGGCTACCACCGCAGAAAATGAGGAAACACCAACTGACACGGAGAGGATATCCCAACTCTCAATGTGTCCAACCATCAGAATTCTAATCAATATGGAAAGGTTCTTTTACCCACTGGTACTGCGACCGTAGCAAACCAAGAAACAGGACAGACCAAACAAGTTCGATTCCTTCTGGATACGGGCGCAGACCGATCATTTATCGATCGCAAACTAGCTGAGGAACTCAATTTGCAAACTATGGATACAGTGGACCTATCAGTCTACACATTTGGATCGAGCATTCCGAAAAAGGAAAAGTATGAAGTTACATCCTTGGAAGTGCTAGACTCAGAAGGGAACCCACATCAGGTTTTTCTGTAGAAAACGGACGTCATAACCGAAAAGGCGAAGAAAGTTAGCCTCACGCCTCAAGACACGGAATACCTACGAACTAAGAACATCACCCCTCCAGAAGCTACGGAGACTCTAGTAAACCTCCAGCTTCTTCTAGGCTGCGACCAATTGTGGCCTTTCCTGCACACATCTGATCCTCAATATATCCTTCCTTCAGTATTA